AAGTCTTACCCACTGAGTATAAATTGACCTTTTCAGCTTTCAAAATAGCATGTGAATATCCCTTTCCTGTAAGATCTGTTGACCTTATCTTTGCACATGTTGTAAAGTATAACAATGTCCACTGGATTGGCTTCTGCTGCAGTATAAATGTGGCAGGAGTGAAGTGTATGAGCTCTCACTCTGTGCTCTGTTCAGAACTCGCTTGTTAGCTTGTCCTTAAACTTATGGATCATGGCATTGGAGTCTCTTAAGCAGGATACTAGCTATCCTCTGATTTTTTTTGTTGAGTTAAGATTCATTCTGCTAATTTGCAATCCATTGCGTCAGTCTGGCTCAGTTGATAGCACTCTTGCCTTTTGGGTCAGAAGTTTGTGGGTTTCAGTCATCAGATCTTTGAAATCATGGTCCAGTCTGGAACTCCACTACAATGCAAGGAGCATGCTGAATTGTCAGAGATGCTGTCCTTCAGATGAGATGTTAATTTGAAGTCCCATCTGTCTATTCAGATGAATGTAAAGATCTCATATTCAACAGAGAAAGCAATTTCTCCTGGTGTCCGACAATCCTCCTGTGAAGTGCTTTGAGAAGTTTTGACAAGGTGTCAAAGTGCTGTATCAAGTGGAAAGATAATTATATAATTATTATTGTTATGCTCAATGGGGCAGCATCAGTCTCAACGTTTGTGCTGGAGGTGGGGATGGGCAAAGAGTATAAATTCACACCTGTAGACCTACCCATGTCTTTTCATATGAGCTGCCTGCATTGGTTTAATAACTCAACAGTATGAGAATTAATAATAGTGTTAACTGTCACATTGCAGGTTGCTATTTTCACTTGATTATTTTAACCCAGACTTGGAATGATGTATCTTGATGCAATTTAGTTTCTCACCAGATTGCTGCCTGGCAATTCCATATGGAGGGAGGAAATCTATTACATTTGAATAGATTGCATATGCATTCAATCAGCATTTGAATAGATTTTACTATAATTGCATTTTATGGATCAGGTAGAGATTCTCTGCTTAAATACTTTTGCTGAAGGCCAGACTCTTACTTGTTATTAGCCTTAATTAGTTCAGGGAAGGAAAGCTGACCTTATATCGTCTTTATCTAAATAGTACATTTCACAGTCCACCTCATAAAATTCAAAAGTGCTCATTACCCAATTCTCTCCATGGTGCAAGAAAATTGAGGTTAGTGGGGATTAATTTCATTGAGTAGAAGAGACTATGGAAAAAGACACTCTATTTCCCTTGGAGTTTTATCACTTAATATTCCAATGCCCTCCCCGCTGGTCTCCTCAGCTACACTATCCAGAAAATCCAACTAATTCAGAACTCCACTGCCCATATATTCACCCGCTCTAAACCCAATGCCCCCATCACACCAGTCCTCGCCAGGTTCACTGGCTCCTGATCACAGAACGGATCCGACTTCAAGATCCTCACACTCATCTACAAATCCTTTCATGTCCTGGGACCTCCCACCTTTCCATCCTGCTTACTCCCTACTCCATCAACTGCCGCCACCACTCGGCTGGTTCCGGCCTCCTACTTGTTCCTCGTCCCCTCTGCTTCACCATTGGCGGCTGTACTTTCAGCCACTATGCCATGAAATTTTGGAACTCCCTCTTTCAATCCCTTTCTGCCTTGTCCCCTCCTTCTCCTTTTTCAGATCATGCCTGAAGACCTTCCTCTTCGAATGTGCTTACTGTCACCTCCTCCCTCCCTCAGGCTCTGTATCAGGCTCCGCCAGTGTTGAGCACACAACAATGTCCCACAAACAGCCATTAAATGAATGGTAAAGTTATTTAGGAGATTGTTGGCAGCAGACTGCTGAACTTCTCCCCTCTCCCTGCACACACCATGAATGGCCACTCCCCTTCTCACTTTATTAGGCAATAGAAAATATCTTAAATGCTTGTTGATGAAGCATTGAACCCCTTTCCTACTGCCAGATGTTTGTATCACACAACTGCTTGGAAGAGCATTGATATACATCAGTCCAGTGGGATGTAAGGTTTGATTGATCCTACTTAGTGTGGATTATCTTATATAATATTACAGAATATTACATAAATGCTGTGTGCAATTGGTTGTTGTGTTTCTCCCACAAAATGTACAGTCACTACACTTTATAGTATATTCTGTGAAGCGTTTTAAGACATCTCGAAGATGTGATAAGGCGTTCTATCAAATGCAAGGGGTATTACTATAATGAAAACTTTCTATCTAGTTTCCTCAAGCGGCTATACTTATAAATGGTCTACTCCAGTAAAAATGTACTGGGTACTTGAATTTGATCTTGCAATCAAAAGAGGCATAAAATATTGTAAAGAAGACCAGCAAAATAAATAAATTAAAATGTGGGAAGATAATGATTTAATAACGTACCCATGTGTGTATGCTTAACTACGTGAAAAGGAAACAAAATTTATGAGTTGCATTGTCACAGCAGACTCACCCATAAGGTGGTTTATATTCTAAAATATAAATCTAGTTTATCACTGATCACAGACCATAATTTTTCAAGGTTAATAATGTCAGTGTTTTACGAAGCCACTTATCAACATTGGACTTGTGTTGACTCTTCTAGTCATAAACTAAAAGCTTGTACATGATCAGCAAACCCATTCATTACAATAACAGGGATTCTTCCTTCTCAGAACCACTGACGTACTGTATACGTGCAGAATTGGGAATCTACCATCATTGTCATTTTAACATCTTTCAGATGCTATGTCTGCCTGCCTGCATGTATATGTGCGTGTGTGTGTGTATGTATGGTATATATGTATGAAAGTGTGTGCGTGTATAAGCATGTTGTATGTATGTATGCTATAAATCATTGGATATGATAGGTGCTTTGCATTCTAATGACCTCTTCTATTCATTTTGCAACTAAGAGGTACCTTGTTATGTGGATGACAATGGCTGAATCTAAATTTATACAGCTGGTCAATGTGAACTGATTTATTATTTGGTTCGCATTATTACCAGGTTTGTGGTTTATTGTTTCAAGAATTTAAGGCTCTTCCTTTTAAACCCAAGTGATCCCACTATTAATCTTTCTTTACAAATTGCAGAAGATTTTGTTATTGGTGGCCATGGCTTTAGTAAAATTGTTTAATTTCATGTATGCATAGATGTTCAATATATAACTTATTTTCCTAGATACAGCAGCTGTGTCCAACCTCCAACCATTTATTGATGTCGTTTCTGAGTGTCACATTAGTTAAGAGTATTTTTGCCTCTTATTTCAGTCACAAGAGAATTGCATCCATATTATATACGTGGAGAATTGTGTTACATTCACAACATCAGCCTTTGGATCAATACAACACTGGAGAAGGGTGCAATTGCTTCCAGCTAGTCTGCAACAGATCATTCTCTGCAAATCCAGTCAAAGCTCATTCAATTTTAGTCAGAATAGGAATTTTTATTTTTATAGCACCTTATCAAGTCATTATTATGCTCCTCTTTTAGTTAAGTAGAATAATGAAAAACAAATTAAGTTCAACTGTTATATGCATCACTTTAATTTGTACCATTTCAATATCAAATCAGCAGTTATTGCGAAGCAGGATTGATTGAGATTAGAATGGTAAATTCCTTATAGTCATTCTCATTCATCTCTCCCAATTCATTCTTTACTTCTTCCTCTCTATTTTGATTGCATATTATGATCAGTTGAACTAAGAAGAGTTAATGGTATCTTGTAAACACTCAATTATTGTGTGAGGAAACCGAGGAACACAGCACAGCAGTGTTGAAAGGTTACTTAAACCACTGAACAGTTTTAGCCAGTACAGTAAACTTCCATAGCATTAAGGCAAATTTTGAGCAATGAGGGTATTGATAAACAATGTACTGGTCAATTTAATCATTTGAGTAAACTCAGCTGAAACCATATGTTTAGAAGTGTATGCACAAGTGTGCATTAAATCACAGCTGGCTTAAGGTTGCCCTCAAAATATACAGTCATTTCACTTTACAGTATATTCTGTGAAGCCCTTTGAGTCGTCTCGAAGACGCGATAAGGCGCTATATCAAATGCAAGGATTATATTATTATCATTAAGGTTACTTGCCCATGTATGTATGGTTTATATGTATACCATACGCTTGATATTTCCATTCATCGACTTCTGATTTTAATAAGACTTACAGAACCAGCCTGAAATGTGGCCTCTTAATAAAGATTTTTCTGCATTTGAATGCCCTGCTGTGTGGAAGTGTTACAACTTCTTTGCTGAAGTTACAATGCTGGTTGTCTTCTGGATATCATATTGTAGCCGATACCTGCATCCATCTCATTGAAATGAACGTGTAATGTAAGTACAGTAATTGCAAACCAACTGAGAGCAGCAAAAGTTCAAGTTACTCACTGATAGTATTTATATAATGGAAGCAGCTTTGAAAACAGCTGACAATAGTGCCCAACGTGACTTGTGCGTTTAATTTGCACATATCCCATTTAGTTTCAGACAACGCTTAATGAATAACTTTTTTAAAAGAACTTAATTTTCTTCAACAAGCAATGTTAAGCGAGTTACTGTCTAGTTACTGGTTTGATGTGTAGTGAAAGAGCTGATAGTTCTGTTTTAACTTTGGAAATGTTATATGCTGGCTCAGTTATCACAATGGATAGCTTACTTTACTATTTTAGCTCATTAATCAATGTCAGTAACACCACGGAATCTGCGTAGATCTGATGTTACAGCTCTTTGTATCTTCAGATGAAAGCCCTTCACCGCATCAATCTCTCCCAACAGATTCAAAATGACTTGTATGGATCAGTGAAAAAACAGCACCAGTTTCCAGAAATACACAGGCGTGTGTCCCAAAGATACGTGTACAGGAACCGGTATCAACTTGAAAAGCTAAGGTATTGATTGTTCACATTTCTACTGGCTCATTGGATTTTTAGGTATTCTTCCTGTGAACAGATTCTCGTGAAACCACAAATTTCCTGGAAAATTTCCTTTAGAATTGCACACACCAGAGAAGATCGGATTCCATGCTATGAATGAGCTTTGAACAGTGCCCTCCACTGTGCAGCAGACAATTCATGACATGCGGTGGTGACTGGGGGAGGTAGAGATCCAGATTCCAGGTGATGACTGCTTCTCTCCATGGCTTTATCTGAGGGTGGTGTTGGTGGGATCAAAATGAGAGGTTTGATCAAACAGCAAGGGAGTAGAATTGGAAATAGGAAGAGGATGGGGGTGACCAGAGGGCGTGGTTGAGAGGTTTTCATCCCTGCTTACTGCTATGTTTAATTGATTTCAATATGAATGGTGATTCTACAATTCTACAATTGACCTCTGTGCAACTGTCCCAAGGTGAAGTAGAATTGGCTTGAAATGAACAATTGAATGTTAAAACTTGGATGTCTGGAAAGGTATTCTGCCAGCATTTAGTAAATCTTGTGCTAAGGTTTACAATCAACCTTCAGCCAGAACTATAGAGGCAAAAGGAGGTTTTTATTTATTTTATATTTAACATTAGCACCAAGTGGTTGGCAGTCCAGTGTGTATATCCTTATCACTGTTAGAGAGCATCCAATCTTGCTTAGTCCAGGGCAGACATGTCATGTGGTAATAGTGCTTCTGTCTGATCATAATAATGTATCATGGAAGGTGACTTGCAGCAGCTTCAAGGCAATGATGTGCTAGTTTGACCTTCCAGCGCCTTGGCACGTCCTCCCGACATGAAAGGCATTCCATAAATATAATTCTGTTGTTGTTGTGGAACATTACTCAAAACGGCAACAGCTCTTATTCAGACTTGTGGTGCTGAAACCACAATAGAAAACAAGGAGCAAGAATAGGTTTAGGAACTGCCAGATTTATTTTATTGCCATCCTCACTTCTCACATTTTGGCATTGACTCTGAACAATTTGACCTGCAGAGTGAAAATTGATGTCAAATACAAAAGAAAATGGAACTTTTGCCCAAAATTATATCTTGAAGGGCAAATTTACTCAACAGTTTAAAGCCCAATACCTTGGTTCAAGTGTATTCTACTTAAAATGTTCTGGATGTTTCAGCATTATTTTGTTTGCCCACAACAAAAGCACAGTCATTTGCACTTTACGGTATAAGCGCTTTGGGATATGCTTCCAACGTGAAAGGCCTTGTACTAAATGTAAGGGTTAACGATTATTTTGCTAACAGTCCTTTGACATATAAAATGATAATCATCTACATTATTTCTTTGTGCAAATGAACCAGGGAAGGTGAGGAAGAGGAGGCTGACAATGAAGAGCAACAAAGACAAGAATACCTGAAGCTGACAGATGTAAGATTTAAGAATAGATAGCTTGTAGCCAATCTGGGCTATAGCTGAACTCCATTAAAAAGCCAGTTTACGTTTACCTACCTAATTTGCTATGTGTTTCAGCCACCACTAGCAAGCAGTGTGATATCATTATCTAATGGCGAAAGCTTTCTAAGAAACTTTTCCAAAGCAGCTTGTAGTTGTTAACGGATAAGTGTGAAATAGGTACTTTCTGCTGTGTGGTTCCTAAGTTAAAACACAAACTTTAAAAAAAAGTGTGCAAGGCCCTGGCTTTTTACATATTTTCCATATGGTACATTTTTGGAGTCAAGAAACAAAATATCTCAAATATTTCTGTCTTGTAATGGATTTTGATTGTAATGATACGGGCATCAAAATAAAATAAAACCCTACCATTCCCTTCGCTCAGCGAGCACCGGCTTGCTTCCAGTTCACTGCCCATCATCGGTGTGGCCTTTATGCTCATGCTCCCATCCCGGTTTCCCTCTGACTCCCTCCCTCACCTTATTCAGGCTCCGTCTCAAGACCTATCTCTTTGACCACGCTTTCAGTCATCCGAGAATGGATGTGTCAGCCTAGCTCAGTGGTAGAACTCTCGCCTGAGTCAGAATGTTGTGGGTTCAAGCCTCACATTGGGACTTGAACTTACATAGTATAAGATTACACTCCAATGCTATGCTAGGGCTGTGCTGCAATGTTGGAAGTGCCATCCTTCGGAGGAGACCTTAAACCAAGGTCCCATCTGCCTGGACATTAGAGATCCCATGGCACTATTTTCGAAAAGAGAAGGGAGTTTCTATAATCCCTATAATCCCCCAAATAAAATGTGGTCATTCACTTACTGGCTGTTTGCAGGACATTGTGGTGCACAAATTGGCTGCAGCATTCTCCCACAAATACACAGTCACTGTGAAGTGCTTTGGGACATCCTCCCAATGTGAAAGGGGCTATACAATTGCAAGGATTATTGTTATTATCTTTCCCCTCCCTACCCCTCTCGGCTCCCACCCTCAGCTTGGGTTCCCAGCCAGTGAGATTGAGCACTTTGGGATATCCTCTCAATGTGAAAGGCACTATATAAATTTGTATTGTATAAACATAATAACAGCCTCCAGTCCTGTGGATATCTCATCCATCTACACATCCCTCAGCTTAATTAGATTTTCTCCAACTGCAGCAGCTATGCTCGTCATTATCGAGACTTGAGTACACAAACTCACAAACATGCTTATGCATTTTTCAGAACCTTATCTATCTACTCCATCACAGGGATCTTGCCTGTTATTAGGGAGGAAATTGAACATCTGGAACAACAACAAAAAAATCCACTCAGATGCACTTCAGAATATATAGGTTTATTTTTAATCATGTGTCTTTTGATTCTTTTCATGAAATTATACAGTATTTTTTTAAAAAAAGTGAACGGAAAAGGAAGCCAAAAAAGGGAGTGGCAACATGTAATAAAAAGTTAGTCTAAGGATCCCAGGATTTGAGGAGGACAAAAGGCACTTTAAAGATTCTTTCAATTCTCTGATCAGTATATTTTATATTAAAATATACAGTCAATTCACTTTACGGTATATTTTGTGAAGCGCTTTGAGGCGTTTCAAAAACTTGATAAGGTGGTATATCAAATGCAAGGATTATTATTCTTATTATCAGTCAGATTTTACACAACCTGTGTTGGTTAAAGTTTGTAACTGAAGTTTCATCAAACTCTGATCATTCTCAGTTGTGTCTAGTTAAATCAGTTTTGATTTGGCAGCTTAGTCTGTCCTTGGCCTGAACACAAAACTCCACTTGTCTTCTTATCACTTCTAGGAAAAGTCAAATAAGACCTGATAAATGTTAATCATAGGAACGTAGGAAACAGGACCAGGAAGAGTCCATTCAGACCATCAAACCTGTTCCACCAGTTTATCAGGTCATTTAATCCCAATGACCTGCCCTTTCGTTATTACCTCTTAAAATTACCTAAAGTACGTGTCTATTTCTCTTTTTATATATCCCCATTGATTACACCTCTACAGCTTTCTCAGGTACGGATTCCACATCATCACAACCCTCTTGGTGAGAAAATGCTTCCTGACCTCAGTTTAAATCGCCTCGCATTAGCAAACCTTATTCTGCAGTGATTTAAATTCCATACTAGAATCCAACTTGCGAACCTTAATTGCAGCAGAGAAAACAAGTCACTTTTAAAAAAATATTTTGCAAGAGGATGTCTATAGGTTATCCACAAGAAAGGAGCCATATCTTCCAAAAGACCGTCTAAAAATGATTTACACTGTTTCACATCACCCATCCATGACCTTTATATATGTAATTCAGCTGAATTCAAGAAACTACGTTCAAATTTTTGTGCAAAGAACTATTTGGGAAATTAAGAAGATACAGATACATGTGACTTGTGTTTCCAGATAATGCATATTTGGTGTACAATAACATCCTCTTTAAAGCAGAACTACACCGAAACTTGGTTCAGACCATACCCAATAAATCACTGTCACAGAAGCAATTTATTCATCCCAGTGCTGATAGATTGAATATAATTCCTCCATATCTCAGCTACCTGTAAAGATTAATCATCCATCTTCCTCCAGTTCACTCGGTTCGAGGAGGAGATCCGAGAACGGATGAGGAGAGAGTGGCTACGTCAGGAAGCTAAAATTAGGAAACGCATGGAAGAAAACCAGGACAGGTGGAGAAACCTGCATTACATCACACTGAACCAGCTCATTAGCAAGTAAGATTCTGCCCAGTTGATAAGACAACCCCTGAACTTCTGTTTTCATTATTGAACTTAATCTATCACATTGTTTCTTAGAGTAAAACGTTTTCACGCCTTGATCTAAAACTATCAAAATCCATGACCTACTTTTTCTTAAGTGTTTAATGGCAAACCCTTTCTAAAGTTAAGTACCTAAATTTTGATGTAATATTTGTATCAACTGCTAGAACCCAGTTGGCATACAGACTTATTTCTTAATAATTTTTTCAAGAGTAAGATTTTACTTCTCTATATAAAAAGTGGTCTTGAATTACTTGCTTTTAGTAATCTGCGAAAATGATAAAATCCAGGCTGTATTTTATTGAGGCTACATCTGTGGTGAAACATTGTTTCTAAAGAAGTATACTGTTAAAAAAANTATAAATTATTATTGGGTCTCACGTGTATCGATTTCTAATGGGATTCCTTTATGAGGAAATCAAGCTGAGACTCCTTCTGGTAAATGAAAACATCTTATGTACATAAGGTTGACCCAACTGTCCAGCGCCTTGGGACGTCCTCCCGACGTGAAAGGCGCTCTATAAATGGAATCTTGTTGTTGTTGTTGTTGTTGACTTATGGGAAGATTGCCTTGTAGCTGGATTCATATAAGACAATATGATGTATTAAACAATCCCTTTGGAAATTGCCACAAATTATACCCATGTTAAACTACCTGTGACAAAATACATAATCCACAACTGAAGGGTTTTCTTCATTCCAGCCGACTCCACTTTACAGTAATTCCTGTGAGAAGCTTTGAAACATATGCTGACATTAAAGATACTATATCAAATGCAAGGAATATTTAACTTTTTTTTTAAGACATTGTTGGTATAAATCAGCTGCCTTATTTGCCAGCATAACGACATTAACTTCATTTCTAATTATATTTTTGTAGAGCTGTTTGAATCCAGCTATTTTGCACAACTTGACTTTATTCTAGAAAACACGTTTATATTTTTAAAAGATCTTACAGTATTTTGTATTTACTGTGAAACCTTTCATTCTGAGCTGATCGTTATTGTGCACTTATTCTTCCCTTTATAATATTGAACTTTGTAATGTTAAACTTTGTAATATTAAATTGTACATTTGGCTGATTTTCTGTTCTTCCCTTGGTCCACCCAACAACAACAACTTGCATTTATATAGCACCCTTCACACGGGTTAGCGTCCTGGAGCTCTTCACAGTCCAGAAATAAAGCATGTTGCCAGTACTTCTACCGACACATGTGCAAAAACATCTGTATCAACCCACTCTTTCCTCATGGAATCCTGTTAATGTTATTGTGCCCTGTTAAGGAACACTGATTAGTGCTGCATTCCTGTAGGATGAAATGCTTTAGCTACATTATATTGAAGTTTCTTCTCATGCCATCTCACACAGGATTTAATAATCCTTTACCTTCTTTCACACAATAGCAACTTTCCTCCATTGTGTTCAGGATTCAGCAAGGCCGCAACACACAATGTCCAGGGAACAGGAAACACCAGAACATTTAACAAAGATGAGGATCATTCATCATATCCCAAGATAATAATACAGTATAATAGAAATTAGTTTAGACTGTTTGATTTGGTATACCTAATTAATTTAGACTGTTTGATTTGGAATACCTAATTAAAGATGGTGAAGATTTCTGTATACACAAATATATGTCGGGGTTAGCTACAAGTGTAAAGTTTTAATTGAAGGTTTAGCTGGTATGATAAACTACTAACATGGTTTACAAATTATGAATCACCTGAGATTGAATTGTCTTGGAAGTTTACTTCTATTTTCTTGTTGTAACATGCCTGGGTATTACTGCTAATAAGAGTACTGAATTAGTGTTGTGGTATTAGGAGATTATTTCAACTGAAATTTAAGGCAATGTAGTTTTAATTTATGTAACTGAATGATTTCAATGATGTGGTTAAACTGGGTCGTTGGTCTTATCCCCTTCAGAAGGAACAATATGGTCTGGTTTACTTGGTGCTGTTAGTGAAACTATATTTCTCAAGACTTTCAGTACAAAACGCTAATGTAACAGTTTAGTTTAATAAAGAATTGTGAAAAACAGCTTGTGTAAACTGGATGTTACACGACCATGATCTGTTGTCTTCTTTTCCAGACCGTGGGTATCCAGCTATTTCAGACTCATGCCAATGATCACTTATTCCCAGACAATACCTGAAGAGCCAGAGGACAAAGGAGTGCGGAAAAGAAATAGATCCCATATAAGATTCCAACCAAAATAATTCCGTTGCTGTCGCTGTTTCTAACATTTCAATTAATATCCATCATCTCAACTGTTTTGACTTTTACAAAACAATGGCAGCTGTATTTACTCTGTTAATGCAGACTTTCAAAATAGTTGACATGATGGATGTTAATTGAAATGTTAGAAAAAGCAGCTTTCTCAAAGCAGTTGTTCAGGAAACAACTCCACGTGAACAGTCACCTTCCCCCACCTTCTCCCCTTCTCATCCAGCACTTGACCTTGCAAAACGATTGAGAAGTTATCCTATATGAAGGACGCGATGTGAATGCATGTTGTTGTAGCATCCAATAGTGTTGAGTCAAGCAATACTCAAAAAGCTATTTTTCTCATCGTTTTACAATGTACATGTAACTTAAGATGATGTTGTTTCTATTAATGGAGCTTCCACTACTTGCGTTGCTTTTGAGTGGGAAATCATTTAAGTGGTTAGCCTTATTTTTAAAAGTCAATTTCTTTTCTTTCTTTTCTTCCATCCCTGTTGATTTTGTCATGCATCCTGTCTTAACCTTTTAGACGTCCCATTTTTTAAAATGATCAGCTCACTTATTATGTCCCTGTCCCTGTTATAATGCACTTCAGTATACTGTGAGTTTGGATATATCACAGTAAGACTTCAAACTGGGAATGAGCTTCCTGCTCGGAGCACAACAAGGCTCTTCAACAACAACAACAACAAGTTTGCATTTATAGAGCACCTTACACATCGGGAGGACGTCCGAAGGCGCTGGAAAGTTGGGTCAGGACCCGAGCAGGTGGGAAATGGTCAGGGTGAGGGGAGGGAGCGAGGAGGGGGTAGAGAGTCGAGAGGAGGGGTGAAAGCACGGTTGAAGAGAAACCATCAACACCATTGATGACCCCGGCAACCCTGAAAGTGCGTCTGAGTGGCTGTGATATAATGTGCTCCATTCATAATAATAATAATCCTTGCATTTGATATAGTGCCTTATCATGTCATTGAGATGTCTCAAAGCACTTCACAGAATATTTTGTGGGCAAAACGCGGCAACCAATTGCCCACATCTATGTCCCACAAACTGTCACGGATTGAAGTGACCAAATTATTATTATTTTTAGGTTTTATTATTAAATAGTCTCACTGCAATGCAATTTGCTCTCAGTTTGGCTAAAGCATTCAGGGCTTCTGCTATTATGGTCAAATGATGGTAAGATTGAGGCAAACTCCCCCTGCTCCCATCTTAACTCCTTCACATTTTTCGGGCCTATTTTCTTCTAAATTCTACCCCTTTTAATGCAATTACATTGTATGGATTGCAACCACTGGATTATAATTGGACTGCACTGTATTTCAACAATAAATGAGATGATTCTGTTCTCATCACTTAATGTAACAATTCTTTCAATATGTGCTAAATTAATCATCAGAGTAGAACAACATTCCAGTCACTGTAATATTAACCCTACAGCTGAAATAAACATGTTACTGTTTCATTGAATCATTTATCTCAAGTGGAGACCTTTGTCAGTTTGTGAGCCCTAAAGTGGAATAGCATGTTTCATCTCTACTGGGTGTACCATTTCTTCTAGGAAGTGCTCTTGTGGGTTGGAGGCGTTGATTTCCCCCTCCCCCACCCCAGTCCATTATTTAAATGTATATTCCACATATATGGGTTGTGAGACATTGCATTTAATGACTTCAATGTGTCTCCAATGCAAGTTATTCCTCTGGGGTCTGGTGGCTTGCTGTGTTTTCCAATGCTGACAGACTTCCTCATCTCACCCCTTCTACAATTAGCTGCAAACCTCAGTTGTTGTTAAGTGTGGCTTCCTGCTTCTCCATTTTGTGCATAAGTTACACAAGCACTCACATCAGTGCTAATTCTCACAGATGAGGTGGTAGAAATTCCGCCTGCGTCTAGATTTACTCTATTGATGCAGCATTTTATGAACATACAGAATTTAGCCATTTCCCTCAAACAGCCTGAATTTTGAAGGCGTTTTTATGTAGAGATCTCTTAAGATGTACAGAAACCATCTTCAAAGTTAAAACTGAATAAAACAATTTTCTAAAATTCTAAGCATTCTAAAACTCTACAATTATAGAATAAATGTAGATATTTTATCCCCATGTGTGTCTTAATTTGTCAGTGTCAATCTAGCTCAATTGGAAGCATTCTCACCTCTGAGTCATTACACTGCCTAAAACAATTATTGGAAAAATATAATTGACTGAATGTATTTACTTACTATGAGCACCAAATAAAGAAAATAATAAATCATGTGGCCAAATAACTTTAATGACTTCATGCTGGACCATTTTAGTGATAGCCTTTGCAATAATTCTTAGATTATCAACAAGACTCCTTAAATCCATACTATTCAAACTACTTTCATATTTTGTGTATACATTTTGTTTACACGTGTATATTTATGCTCTCCTGAATAGATGCAGTTCTTTTTAGAATTTTAATTATGGTGAGAGCTGGAAAATAAGGGAATGCTTCATGCATCAGATTTTACAATCATGTGAATGGTTAATCAGAGTGCTAAATGCAAATTGTGGCCACTGCTTTCAACATTGCACAATTATAGAATAAATGTAGATAGAATTTTATTCCCACGTGTGTGGGGATAAAACCTTTTCATTTGGTGTTAACACATAGGTTGTTGGCTGGCAAATTAAGTTCAATATAGATAAATGCAACTTATTGCATAGAGCAAGTAAGAATAGGAGGCACATGTACTTCATAAATAGGATAGAAATTGTCGAAAGAGAAGCTGAAAAGATCTAAGGGTGCTCGTTGACTCACAAAGTTAAAACAATGTGAAGCAACAATAAGCAAGGCAAACAGTCTGCTAAACTATATTGTCAATGATTTCAGTTCAGATCCCCCCAAATCATACTCAGGCTGCAGAGTGCACTGGTCAGCTACATATACAGTACTGCATATAGCTCTGGCCACCATAACATATAGGGCTGCCCATGCCCTACAGGCAATGAGGAGGAGAGCAGTGAGGATGAGTAGAGGAATAAGCAACAATTAGGCAAGCTAGGCTTTTCAATCTTGAAAGGATACATGTCAGTAGCATTTGCCACATTTTGGGCATTCTAAAACTCTGATTATAGAGTAAATTGAGGTAAAATGTTATCCCCATATGTGTCTAATTTGTAGGTGTCAGTCTAGTTCAATTTGTAGCACTCTTACCTCTGAGTCATTACGCTGCCTAAAACAATTATTGGAAAAATACAATTTGACTAAGTGTATTTACTTAGAATCGGCACCAAATAAAGAAGGCATTTGAATGGAATTGAGAAAGTAAATCCAGAGCAATACTTTAAAATTCACCAAGACAGCTGAATAAAAGGACACAGGCTTTGGGTTGCAAAGTGTAATTTCAAAGAAGACATCAGGAAGTAATTCTTCACCTAGAGGATATTTAATAACTGGAACAGATTACTAGGAAAGGTGGGTGAGGCCAGGACACTGGAATCATTTCATAAAAATAACTTGATGCTGCAATGTGAGGATGGGAGGGAGGTGTTCTGGGAAGGTGAGATCAGATGGACTAAAGGGCCTTCTTTATCTGAATCTTACTTCTCATCTAATGTTGAACTCTCCCCCCCAAAAAAAAGGCTGTTGATCCATCCACACCTTAAAGAGTGAGGTTGAAAGGCTCTTTCCTTTCCACCCATTCACTTTTCGAACCCCTTCAGTCAGGTTTCCGTGCTGCCCATAGCACAGAAACTGCCCTGGTCAAGGTCACCAATGATATCCTGACCATCTGTGACCAGGGCTCCCTCTGTCTCCTCGTCCTCCTCGACCTATCGGCAGCATTCGATACGGTCGACCACGCTATCCTACTCCACCGCTTGTCCTCCCACCTCAACCTTCAAGGCACTGTCCTTGAATGGTTTAGGTCGTACCTTTCTCACCGTCTTCACTTTGTCTCGACGAATGGCTTCTCCTCCACCCCCCGTACTGTCTCATGTGGTGTCCCTCAGGGCTCTGTCCTCGGTCCCCTCCTCTTCACCCTCTATATGCTCCCCCTGTGGTGACATCATCCGCAGACATGGAGTTAACTTCCACATGTATACGGATGACACCCAACTCTACCTTTCCTCCTCTACCCTCAACTCCACGACCACCAATGTCCTGACAGCCTGCCTGTCCGACATCGAGTCCTGGACGAGAGACAACTTTCTTCAGCTCAACGTGCGAAAAACCGAGGCCCTCCTGATTGGCTCACGTCAGCGCCTCCGCACCTCAGGCGCTGACACCACCAGCATCCAAGGCTGCACTCTCCACCTCTCAAAGCCAGTCAGGAACCTCGGCGTTTTGTTCGACCCTGAGCTGTCCTTTCTCCCTCACATCCGCACCACAACTGGCACCGCCTTCCATCACCTCCGGAATATCGCCAGACTACACCATTACCTCACCCCTCACGCTGCTGAAACCCTGGTTCACGCCTTTGTCACCTCAAGGCTGGACTACGGGAACTCTCTCCTCGCCGGCCTTCCCGCCACCTCCCTCCACAAGCTGCAGGTCATTCAGAACTCTGCAGCTCGTGTACTGTCCCGCACCAGGCTTCAGGACCACATCACTCCCACCCTCGCTCGCCTCCACTGGCTCCCCATCCCCCAGAGGATTGATTTCAAGATCCTCATCCTCACCTACAAGGCCATTCACGGCCTTGCTCCCTCCTACCTCTCCAACCTACTATCCCCCTACCTACCTGCCCGTACCCTCCGTTCCTCTGGCTCCGGTCTGCTCCACGTCCCCCGCCCCAACCGCCCTACCACCTTCAGCCTCTCAGCCCCCAGGCTCTGGAACTCCATCCCCCAGTGCGTTCGCCGCCTCCTCCCTTTCCTCCTTCAAGGCCGGTCTCAAGACCTTTCTCTTTGACCGTGCCTTCAGCTCCCCTCTCGACTCTCTTCCCCCTCCTCGCTCCCTCCCTTCCCTCCCCTC